TATGGATGTCTATTTGTAGAGAATAAAAAATCATGAATTTTGGTATATTTAAAATCATTTTTCGATAAAAATAGCTTCTTAAAAATAATAAAAAAAAACAAAAAAACTATGTTTTTGTATATATTAAGGTAATGATTAGCATAGTTTAAGGAAACATGTTTTGTTGGAAAACAGATGTCTATTCTTTTCCCATTTCTGCTGGTACGACGGAGGCTTTTGCGGTAAAAATAAATGAGTGGCTGAGAATGATTCCCCATTCTTAACTTTTTTTTCTCAATTGAACCCTCCTCTCTCTCTCTCTCTCACTCTATATATATATATATATATATATATATATATATATATATATATATATATATATATATATATATATATATATATATATGGAAAGTGAATATACCCTTAAGGGTATATAAGCTTAGGTACCCAAACCCACCGTAATACATCGTTTTGTTTGATAAATTCATTATAAAGTTCTTAAACTTTAAGTCCTTACTTGATTTGATTCCAAGATTTTCAAATTTTCACTATTATATTTCTCTTAAATCACATCTTTTTGTCGAACACCTACTAGGCTATATATTATAGTTAAAAATGAAAATTATGTATATGAAGATAAATGTGAAATTTATGAAAATCTTGAAAGTAAATCAAGTTAGAAGATGGATTATAAGAATATTGGACAATTACAATTTATATATGATACAAAATAACGTAGTATGGTGAGTTTGGGTACCCTAACGTAGTATGGTGAGTTTGGGTACCCAAACTTATATACCATTAAGGGTATATTCACTTTTCCCATATATATATATATATATATATATATATATATATATATATATATATATATATATATATATATATATATAGATCCGGTAAGAAATTTTTTTTGGTAGGAAGGTAAGAAGTTTTTTTTTCTACATATTTTTTTTACGAACAAAATAAATGAATCACTAGATGATTCATTTCTAAGATGATTCACAAAAAAAATTCTCAAAAAAACATCTTTATGATTCATTTTTAAGTAAATTAAGAAAAAATTCATTTTTATGATAATTTTAGTGAATAACAACAAAATCATTGTATAAATGAATCATAAAGATGTTTTTTTGAGAATTTTTTCTTGTGAATTATCTTAGAAATGAATCATCTAGTGATTCATTTATTTTGTTCGTCAAAAAAATATGTAGAAAAAAAACTTCTTACCTTCCTGCCAAAAATTTCCTTATTATTTGATCTTGACTCTCTCTCTCTCTCTCTCTCTCTCTATATATATATATATATATATATATATATATATATATATATATATATATATATATATATATATATATATAGACAAACCGGTTTCGGCGGGTACCCAACGGGTAGCGTTTCCGAAAAAATGAGAATTGGAACCGGAACCGCTTAAGGCAGTTCCAGTTTCAGAACCGGCAGTTCTGAGGCGTTTCCGGTTCCAAAAGCGGGTACCCGGTTCCGATGCTCATCCCTAGCATACTCTCCATGCAAGGCATCAAAACTCGACTATAGCCCAGATCCAAGACTTTACAAGATCACTTAGACCTGGAGATTCATAAAGTTGCTAACTTTATGAAATCCAACCATTCTCTCACTCAAGAACAACAATAAAAGGGACACAACTTAAGATCTAGCAACATAGAGAAATAAAAATTGGATATTGGACACTTACAAAGGTCCAGTAGAGTGCCAAATTGAAAGATGAGGGTTGCTTGTTGGATTCTTACTTCCTTCTTCCAACTTCTTTCTTCTTTGGTTCCAAAAACACCACACTAGCTCACAAATGAAAGGGAAAGATGATTAGGGTTCTTAAGGGTTGATATGGGGGGGGGGGGGGGGGGGTTTGGAGGCTGATAAAAAAGTATCATTTAGGACTTAAGGAGATTATATAGGGTGCAAAATCTTGAAAGGCATCAAAACTCGACTATAGACAACCCCCCCCCCCTCCCACACACACACAACACGTCGTGTTTTAGAGGAAAACATACAAAAATGAAATAAATCTCATAACTGGAAATCGGGATCTTACAATCTTAGTCTAAGGTTGTAGGTATTTATATGGAAAAAAAAGAAAAAACTAAAAAAACCACATGCGAACGTACAAATCACTAAATACGTTCGCAAATGGAATGTTAAAATCATAGATGAGCTTAATCCATTTGCGATTTTGATGACTATTTTTTATAATTTGGGTTTTTTTGGCTATTTTCTACAAAGTAATTAAGGGATTGAATTATTTTGTAATTTTCTCTAAAAATTATTTGAATTTAAGCGAAAAAAGATTGAGAACAATTCATTACAAATATATATTTCTTATAATCATATTTGGATTATTATCTTATGAAAAAAATAATGTTATTTTGTTTTATTTATCTAATACAAAATAAGCTTGAAATAAAATTTAGCTGATAATAAAGTTGGTAAATTTTCACTTGAGTATCATAAAATAATAAATAAAATGTGAAAGAAAGTTTAGATAATAATAATGTAATGATTAAATAATAAAGTAATAAAATAATCAGGTATATTGATGAAATGATTAGGATATACAGAATGTCTTTTCATATATTTTAACGATATTTATTTTATCCTAGTAAACTAGAAATACAAATTGTACAAGTTATGGAAAAAAAAAAAAACATTCTTAGTATTATGATCCTTAACATACCAATTTTTAAACAAAATTTTGTCAAAAGTAAATCGCGAATTTTTTCAACAGCGGTAATAAAATTTCAGTCGAAGTTAATTAGTTAACCACCAAAAATGTACCCTGTGTCTGTGTGTGCAATTGGACTTCTACATAATACACTGCAAAGGTTTCCCCAATTTGGAAAATCCAGAAACTTCAGTGAATTACCTGTTTCTCGTTAACTTCACTTTCTCATCTTTCAAAGTTTTCGACTATGAATCCGAGCACTGACAAGTTGGTGAGGAGAACAACAATGGTGGCGACGGTTACTGCCGGTTATTTCCTACTAACTGCTGATTATGGCCCCGAACCTAATGTTCTTGATCCCGTAAGCTTTTCAATACAGTTTACTGTTCTTTGACTTAATCTAGGGTTTTTTCGGTAAATTTCTGGTTCTCGATTTTAGTTTAATTAGTTGTATTTCGCTTGTTGCGGTGTGTCAAGGTAAACTTCTACTTACATATCGAGATTGTTCATCGCTTCCATGGTGATTTCCTCGTTGCTGATATTGTAATTTTGGTTATGTTTTCGTCATTGCAATTATCCCTTATTCGATAATCAAATTCGACTTTTGGTTTTCATAATCCTAACCCGGTCTCTCTCTCAAATTACAAAATTGGGGCCGATGTTTATAGTCTTTTAAACCCCAAAACTACTAGATTGTAACACGGCTTGTCTAATTGTAATCTGGTTAGCAACTGTCAATGTTATTAGGTTTATCTGATGATATCTCTAAATGTGGGTTTTTAATCTTTAGATGCTTATCTTGTTCATGGTATCTTGTGCGTTTTTTAATCATTATATGATGATCTCCAAATGTTCTATTATTTCATTTCTTGAAATTGTTTTCATGTTGCTGTCAATCCTAACACATCTCATTTTGCACTGCAAATAATAGATCAAGAATAGAATACAATCTGCAGAACAATCAGTGAAGAGATTCATCTTTGGATCTAAACAAGGAATTCAAGAACCCAAAAAGCCGACCCCTGATACTACATCAGAGAAACGTTCATGATCTTTTAGGTTCTTTTGTGATGTTTTTGCCTTTGGTTGACCTTTAGAATGTGAATCTTGACTATCTGATTCATTTTTCTTTTGTAAAATACAAAGGAAATACTATAGAGGAAAAAAACCACTCCCAAATAGCTCTCATAAAGATTAGGAACTTTCTTTCTTCTTTGTTTGTTTGATATTTGGTGTTTTTATTTGTATGTAGTCTCTTTTCTCTTGGACTTTATTTGCAGTTTTAACCTCATGTATGTATCTTTCATATGCTAGTGTTATTACATTTTACTTTTCGTGTATCTTGATTCTGTAGGCTTGGGATTTTTGTGTATAATTTGTGTATATGGATTCTATGAGGGTTTTGGGTTTGCTTGTGCGTTTTTTGTCTATGGAAAATGGATCTAATTGTAAATTGATTTCTTCTTTGTAATGCGAATCGATAATGCGCCATTTGTGGTAAAAAGAGACAATACAAGGGGCTTGATGAGCACAAAAAAAGAGAGCAATATATTTGATTTTTGGGTTTAGATTGAATCTGTCATCGAATTATTTGTTCACATCTGGTTTCTCTAGATTTTTTTGGTACATCTATGGTCCCTAAACTTTTGTTGATAATATTTTGTCGTGAAACCCCACTTATGTTGCTAACTATTTAAGATGACGTTGATTATATTTGTATTGGTAAACATTTTTACATTCGGACATCTACTTTAAATCTTTTAGTTGTTATTTAATGAAATTTTGATCTTTCATTTCTATTTATATTATGTTATAAAAAAGCTATATTATATTTTTGGGAATAAAATTACATGACACAACGATAATTTTAAAATAGCTAAATAATTTGTAATATTCAACTCCCCGAAGCATTATATCCACATGTAAGCCTTTCCTTGAACCTAGCCTTTGATTTTGATATTTGTCAAGATCAATAATTTTGAATAACCACCTAAACCAATTATTTACAAACCAATTGATTTTCGATTTTCTATAGGGGAAATTAAATATTCTTTTACCTTTTGTTTCTATCTAGTTAGGATTATGATATGCATAAATTTAATATCCTAATCCAATTTAAATTAAATTTAATGATACTTGTCATCATCCAAAATAAATAAATAAAAAGATTTTTTTTTCTTAAATTGATTATTATAAAAGTGCATCTTTTATTATATAACGAGTATTTTATAACTTGTGTAAAAGATAAATATGGTTGAGTTTTGTAGTATTTTTCAGACTTAATATTTTTAACCCTATCTTTTACCCAGAATATTTATTTATAAATTAATATTAAATATTTGAAAAAACCTCATTCACATACCTGTCAAACAACCATCCACTTTCTCTCTCCCTCACTAAAAACCTCTCCACTCTTCACTTCAGAGAAGCTCCCAAACAATGTCCCCTCCCTCTGCTTTCCCTCATTCACATAACTGTAATTTCCCTCCATGGCCACACCAAAATCTTCATTTCGCATCGCACCATCATCTTCTTCACAATTCCCTCCATGGACACCCTTCAAAATCCCATTAAAACCCTCCAAAATCCTCTGTTCTCGAAACCCTAATCCACCCTCTCCTCCAGCACCCATAAACCTAATCTCAATTCTTCGAGTAATACCCGATTGGGCCGATGCAATACAAGAGAGTCGTTTGAAACAGAAGAGGCAACTTTACAAATACGAAGATTGGGTTGAACACAGAAGCTCTTTGAGACATCTCAGGCATCTGCTGTCAAGTCTGAGTTCTAGGGTGGTTTTATCGTTAGTCCCACCGGTTATTGCCTTCACGACGGTGGCTGTGGTGGTTGCGAGTTACAACACGGCGGTGTTTTGGGATTTGTTGCCGGAATTTTTCCCGATTTTGAGGGCTTCTTCTTTGCCTTACCAGTTGACAGCTCCGGCGTTGGCGCTTTTGTTAGTTTTCAGGACGGAAGCTTCGTATTCAAGGTTTGAGGAAGGGAGGAAGGCTTGGACGAAGGTGATTTCAGGGACAAATGACTTCGCTCGACAAGTGATTGTTAGTGTGGAGACAGATTCTGTGTTAAAAACAGCGCTTTTGCAGTATATTCTGGCGTTCCCGATTGCTCTTAAGGTTTGTCATCTTTAAATCCAACAATAATGCTTCCAATTTAGAGATATCTGTGTGCTGACCTTTTGTAGTTAAATTCAATGCAGTGCCATTTGATTCATGGATCCGACATAGGAGGAGACCTCAAGAATCTTCTTGAGGATAATGATTTAGATCTAGTTCTGAGTTCAAATCATCGTCCACGTTGCATTATCCAATTCATCTCTCAAAGTCTCAAGTTGCTGAATTTGGAATCATCAACACTAACCACGCTAGTAAGTCTTTAAATGTTTCAAACTCGTAACTTTGAGCTCAGAAGTAAAATCTTGGTTGTGGATTACGTTTCAGGAATCAAAAGTTACGTGTTTCCATGAAGGAATTGGTGTTTGTGAACAAATCACAAGCATACCTATCCCTGTTTCCTACACTCGTTTGACTTCAAGATTTCTTGTTCTATGGCATCTCACCCTTCCAATAATTCTGTGGGACGATTGTCACTGGATTGTAGTCCCCGCTACTTTCATCAGCGCTGCTTCTCTATTCTGCATCGAAGAGGTTTGTTTTCCCTTAAAAGCCTTGACTTTTGAAATCAAACCCCCCATTTTCCAAACTTCAGTTTCTATACAAATTTTGTACCTTTTTCCAAAAGCTATTAAGAAAAAGATTGGGTTTGTAGTAAGCATTAGACGCATACCAATCTAGGTGTTGAATTGTACATACTACACATAGTATTACCATTTTTGTACTTTCAAAATCACTAGGTTTGACCTTTAAAGTCAAACTTAGCCTTGAAATTTGAGAAGCTTGTTTTTAATTTTTATATTTGTATTTGTAGGTGGGGGTTCTGATTGAAGAACCATTTCCGATGCTTGCTCTGGATGAGCTATGCAAACTGGTTTATGACAATGTTCAAGAAACATTAAAAAGTGAGAAAAAGATTCGAAAATTACTTAACACCAAAATTAAGGATGCTGTTTCTTCTAGAAAACACACAGCAAATGGGCACCCAGCTTCAGGAGGTGGACAAAGTATTTGGCCTAATAATTCCTCAAATAGTATAGACAATTGACGTATCTTTTATATTTACACGAGGAATGATATGTTTTAAAAGGCGATGTCTAATACTGTAGATGTTTATCTTCCATTATTATTGCATCTGTATATATAGCTATATCTGTTTATAGGAGAAACAAGTCCATAATTTCGTGTAATACATTAGCAAATTATTTAAAGTCGGATGCCAATAATCAAAAATCAAAAACCAATACAAACAAGATTGTTAAATCAACAATCACTTGTCAATTAAACTAGTCAACAAGTCATCCATTCGAGGTTATAATCTCCCAATTTCAATTTCTTGCATTTTGCAGAGTCTGATGCTTGTATCAAAAGTAACCCTCCAATATTACACTTTTGCCCACTATTTTGGGTTCAAACTTGTTCAAGCCTGCTTTTTGGCCAATCTTTATAGCCTCAAGGGAGGTAGCTTCTTTGTTCCCACCCCAAATTGGCAAAACTTCCACCACCAACTTCTGCACCAAATTTCCCTCGACCCCCTTCAAAATCTCCTCAAAGTCAACAATACCCCCTCTTAAATCCAGCAACACACTGCACAGTCCTTCACCTTTACAATGCTCCAAGATTGTCCCTAACTTCAATTCATCAAAAACCCGTGTCTCGATCCCCTTTTCAGATCCCACTCCTGTCTGTTGATCCGTGAATATGACCACCTTTGAAGCTGATTCTTCAATCTGAATCACTTGATTTGGATCTTTTGCAATTATAACTCGCAAAGGTTGGTTTGATTTGGGTTCTTTGGATTCAGGAACTGAATACTTTTTTAATGATTTTGAAGAAAGCACAACTGCATCGTGTTCTTGTAATAGCCTTGAGTAGTATCCACCAGCCTCCATGGATTCTTCCCCAAGATCATCTGAGAGACCACCATCGATAGTGAGAGAGTATCTGTATTTCATCAAGACATTGTTATGTACTTATTTGAATTGTTGCTTTTGTTTGTTTAATTGTTAAAACTGATGAATATTGTGAATATTGTTTGTTGTAGTGTAAGATTTTGTCTTATTCAGACTGTTTATTCGGTTAAGAAAACAAACTTTGTATATAGGATTTATCTAGTAAGCTATATATAGGTGTTTCTTTATGTTACATAAAGAGACATGAAAATGAGACTTATTTTCTCAAATACTCTTTGAAACATCACTTATCCATACAATACTTAACGACCTCAAAATAAAACTTACCTTAATGTAACAAAAGGGTTCCCAGTTTTCATTTGATGTATCCATGCCTCATTAAGCTTTTTGCAGAGTTCTTCTTCAACACCAACTGTTACATCAATTCCTGCATCTTGCAATTTAGCAACGCCCCTTGAGGCAACAATTGGATTTGGATCAACCATTCCCACCACCACCTTTTTCACTTTTGCTTTGATTAGTGCTTCAGAACATGGAGGAGTTCTTCCAAAGTGATTACATGGTTCTAAACTCACATATGCAGTTGAGTTCTCTGCCAATTCCCCAGCATCCCTTAAAGCAAAAACCTGTGAAATGGAATAAAAGAAGTAAGTCGTATATCATATATGTGAAAGTTAGAAGCAGAAATAGCAAATATTAAAGTAAGTACCTCAGCATGAGGTTGCCCAGCTTTGGGATGAAATCCTTCACCAATGATTTTCCCATCTTTAACGATAACACAACCAACCATGGGATTAGGGCTTGTATGCCCAATAGCTTTTCTAGCAAGCTCCACACATCTTCTTATATAAAATCCATCGTCATTATCTTTCTTATCATCTTCCCCTAGTGACGCTTCTTCACATGTACTCCCACCTAATCCAACGTGTCTCCTCATATTGTTTGATGAATCAGATACCCTTCTGGTTGAATTACATAGCCCGAATCTGTAATTCGAAAAGGATTGAACTTTAACAAACTGGGTTGAAGGTGGGTTAGGGTTTAAGCAGCGAAACGAAGATGAGGTTTTTGTGGGATTGAGATTATAATTTGAAATTGGAAGTGTTTGGGCATACATTATGAAAACCCCAACAGCAACAACTTGTGAATTTGAAGTCCAGGACGATGTCACCCGATTTAGAGATTAAAAAGGTTTTGAATCTCAAACTCGATAGTGCATTAGAAGTGAGTCAAGGTTGAAGATGGCCTAGTCCATGCCCTCAACAAATTCAAAGAAGAAGAAAAATAATAGATTATTTCTCGTGGCCTGGTTCATGCCCACAGCCCGGCTTTGCTCACCCAATTTTCTCTTACGATTTTCTGTGCTGCATTCAAGATATAAAATGGTGGATTAAATATTTTTTAGAATAAAATTAATTTCATTTTAATAAACTAAGATTATTTTAATCATTTTTTTAAAAGAAAAAGTTTCTATATTTTCATTTTCATTCTCAACTCTTTACTTATAAACTTTTTTGATTTTGTAATTAGCTACCATTAATCATCAATATCCAAATTTTAATTTAAAAATCTTGATGATTTGTAAGATTAAAATAACTTTTAAATAAATAATTATCTTTTAATATTTATAATTGTTTTTAATAGAGTAAAACATAAACATAAATTATATTTATTAAATAAATATTGGTTTACGTTGAAAAATTGGATTGTTTGGAAGATAGAGAAATTAGTATTTTTAATAGAAAAATTGGGTCGGATTGGATTGCTAATAATCAATTTAAAAATTAAATAATAATCAAACTTTCATACAATACTGTCTTTTATAGAATTTTAACTTTCATACAATAGGCTTTTTATGTAATTTATTTGAATATAGTTATGGAAAGCAAATATAGCCACACTAACATCAATTTTAGTTTGTATACAAATTTAGGCATTCTAAAAGTAATTTTCAACGTTTCAATGGTAGCTATGGAATAAAAAAGAAACAACTTTATTTATAAATACAAGCAATAGTCATCTAGTTAGATGAACTAATGCATTTCATATTCTCATACTCCACATCATATTTCACGTAACATATCATAATATATACCAACGCAATAAACTGACATGAAGAACATACAAAAGTATGCATATATACTGCATACATATACGTATATTTGTGTAAGTGTAACAAGTAACAACTCAGCTTTCATACGATGACAAAGCAAGAGCAAAACCTAATGCCCACCTTACTTTCTTCATTCTCCAAAATCTTCTCCAGTTCTGTTATTATGTCTTCAAACTTTGGCCTCACGTCAGGATTGCGGTGCCAACATCTTTTAAGAAGCCTGTCCCCATTTAAAAATAAAAATAAAAAACATAAATTAGAAAGAGTCAAATATTCTTTTCAAGATACTTTGACTTAATAAGTCAAATCTATAACTTTCAAGTTCATATATGACAAGATTTTTGTTAGGAATTCAACACCAACATCGTTCTATTGCTATACTTGTTTATAGTACTTGTTATGGGTGTTTAATCTATTTATCCGAATACATAAACATTTTAAAGATTCGTATCAATTTTTTAAGTTTATAAACTTTGTTTGACCTTAAAAAGCCAAATAACTCAATTTCAAAAGGGAGGGAGGAATCAAGACTTTTGGCTTCCGCATATGAATATTTAGTATATCTGTATATGTTATTAATTTAATGAGGAAACATGACTTAATCTGGTAAGCTATAGGAGTATTTACAAATATAGAAAGAACGACTTAATACATACAGAGTAAGTAACTTACATCCTTACAGGCTCCGGATACAAATATGAAGATAAAGGCGGCCTCGAGTCCTCGTATGCTCGTTTATCCGCCACATGCTCGGGTGGTTCTTCTCTATTTGATGGTCCTCCTTGAAACATCTAATCCCACATATAGATGCAACATTTTAATTTGAATTCTTTTAAGTTTTCAAGTCACATAACAAAAGCAAAAAAGTTGTCCAAATGTATCATTGATTAATTTTGTGTTTGAAGATTCAAAATCATTTTCAATTATTAGTCATTTCAAGATGATTTCAACTTTATTGTTCAAGTAACAAAAACTCAAACCAAATCTTGAATTCAAAGATTGACTAGTTTGACCATAAAAGTCGAAACATATATGAGAAGTGATCACTAGAACTTACTTCATGAACAATCAAAGCAAACGAGAAAACATCAACACTCTTGCCATAAGATTCTCGCCGATATACTTCAGGAGCCATATACCGATCTAAAAAAAAAGATCATAAAATCAATACGATTTCATGAAACTTTATTATTGCTTTTATTGTAATAAAAGTGGTACATTTTCATACATGATCCAGTTCCTCCAGTCATTTTGTAACCATAAACATCTTTCTCCTGTGCAATTTTGCTCAACCCAAAGTCTGTCACTTTAAGACGCCCCGCTTCATCTTGCAATACATTTCTAAAATATGAAGAAATCATCATTTCATTTCGGAAGTCTAAAACTTGAAGAAAAAAAAATCTTGACCCATTATTTGATTTTGACCTCCCTTGTTTTTTCTAACAACAATGAATGCATACATTACATATATACCTTGGGGTCAAATCCCTGTGTATTATAGCATGAGGTTTATGGTGATGAAGATAATTCATACCCCTGCACAATGTAACTCAAGTTTTCATATAAATTCTTCAATGACTCGAGAAAAGTTTGATGATAACATTGAAGATGAAATGAAATACCTTGCAATATCCAAAGCATAAGAGACAGCAGTCATCGAATCAAGTCTTCCTTTCTTCTTTAGAATGTCATACAAACTTCCCTACAAAATTCCAAATTATAAACAAATATCAAAGCCCATATATAAAAGAAAAGAACTGGAAAGGGTACTAATACAAATAGTCAAATACACATCATAAACAAAAAGACTAACATTTTTTAAATACTCAGTTAGGAATATCAAGCGATCCGAGTCTTTCAAGACACCAAGAAACTGCACTATGTTTGGGTGTCGCAACGTTTGCCATAACTCAAGTTCTTTCAAAAACGCTTTCCTGCAACATGTTTGACTTTCGAGGGTCAAACTCAAACGGACTAAATTCTCGATTCGAAAAGTACTAGGTTTGACTTTTGTTTGGTCAAAACTCACCTCACAGTTTCGCTTGATGCAATTGAAGACCGGATTGTTTTAGCAGCGACTTCTGTGCCACGCCATTTTACTTTATAAACTTCACCATACGCACCCTGCTGTCATGTGACATTGTTGACACGCGGGTTATGAAGTTCCTTTAATAAAAGATTGCTTCAAGATTTTATTTTTTTTCTTATAAAATATAAAGTATTTACTTCGCCAATAAGAATTGATTCCTTCATTCGAACTTCTGTGTAATGAATTTGGTAACACGGAGTTTGGGAATCGAGTCCAACCTATAGAAAAGATACTTTAAGTGAAATGAATTAATATTGAATTTGTAAAAGTAATAGGTTTGGCTTGAGGGTCAAACATAGATTACCGGATCAAGTCCTCCATGTGCCTCAAGGATTTTACATATTTCCAAGTGACCTAAGCTACGTGCATCCGAAAGTGGCTGCATACCAAAAGTGAATTTTAGATATATCTCTGTATCAGGCACACTATGTATCAGACACTTTTTGTAAAGTGTCTGATACATATTAAAAATATGAAAAATTACCGTGCGACCCCAACGGTCGGTAGAGTTGACATCAGCTCCTTTTTCAAGAAGTAAGAGAATGATTTCGGTGCATCCTTCACAAGCAGCTAAGTGAAGTGCTGTTCTTCTATCATAATCTCCTACATTCGGTTCTACTCCTTTTTCAAGCTCTTGCATCACTCCCCATTTGTTGCCTTTACCCGAACAATATAGAAGGCGATATGGCCCATCTGAGTCCGACTTTTGCACTTGCATTTGCTCCTACATGAATATGAAATTCATCAAACCTATGGAAAAAAAAACAGCAATGTATTTTCATTTATTTGTTTATTATAGCAACCTACTTTGATTTCTTTCTGTTATAGGATCATGCTTTGAAAAATCTATCCAATTATAGTATCTAAATACAAGGAAATTTTCAATTGCTATAATTAGGTAGATCTTTTAAAGTACCCGTCTCAATAAGATTTTTCCCCTAAATCTCCCAACTTGCACAAATTGTGGGTTTGCATACTCTTGTAGAATTAAACATTTCTTCAAACAAATAAGACATTTAAAAATCAACCAAAAAGTCAATATTGTGGACTTGCTTTGACTTTAATTGGTCAAACGAGTAACCATCAGAAATCCTAAAAAAATAGAATGTAGGAATGGATAAAAGCAAAAATGCTGTCTTGAATTATGCAAAATAGAGATCGACAATCTGATTAAATACTTCAAACAAATAAATTATTTGAACATATCATTTGGGATCCACAAAAATGAATTGCTTCACCACAAGATTCAAACTTTATCTCAACGCTTGATGACTTAGGAAATAAAATGATTATTACAAATACCCAGATCACATCTTTACCAAATTTTCACCAGAACACACGTTTTACAGTTCAATCACTTACATACACAAACACATATCATAAGTTGATAGATACTGAAATCAAATTAAAACACTAATAACTCACATAACTAGGTGATGATGAAGCATCCATGGCAACTCTGGTTCCAAGATTCTGTTGTTGAAGGTTGGAACGAAACTGTGTGACGATTTGCTATCAAGATTTATAAACCCACATAATTTTATGGCCGATGAGATTAAGGAATAGACAAATAAGAACAAATAAAATACTGATTTACCAAGAAATGGAAAAGGGTAAGAAGAAAAACATAGTGTGTTTCGCCATGGTTGATTGGTGGGGAACATTCTCACGAGCAAATGAAATTGATATTTTGGTGGGAAAATTGGGGGAGAATTTTGACGCAATTCGACTTTATTCTACGAACTTGGAATTAGAGATTCAATTAGCTGGCGTGTGGAATTGTTAAATTGAAATTCTATTTTATTAATTTCTTTTGTTAAAATTTATCATGTAGATGGATAAATATCAAATGATAATTTTACAAATCCTATCAAATATAACTAATTCGTTATCCTAAACTAAACCGCTTAATCTTAATTTTACGAATCCTATCAAATATAACTAATTCGTTATCCGATAAAATATTTTAGCAAGTATTTACTTCCTCATGTAAAAGCATCTCTCCGACTTTGATCAACGGTTTGAAAAATCCATAATAATGCAACATGGTCATCTTTCTCCGTTCTTTTTGTATTAATTATAAAGACATGTCCCAATTAATTAAAATAAACATTTAACCTCAATTGAATTCATACAACGAGAAAAAAATAAATAAAAAGGTCATAAAGAAAGAGACTTGCAGCTAATTACATCATCATCAGACGCCGGCAATTTAGGAACAGAAGTAGTAACCAACACCCCATCCACATTCGCCGCCTTATCCACATCAAAAACCACCGTGCTCAGCCCCTTTCCGACCACAAATATCTTCTTACCAATTCCAACAACCCGACAAGGTGGTCTAGTAAGTACAGCCGACAGCCTCCCAAAAGCTTCCCACTCCCTCTTATCTTTCCGCCACGTCATCACTCTAGTCCCTGAACTCTGATCCAACACGTACAGCGTGTCCTCCACTACAATAGCTGGGCCCCGCCACCCACACACCATGTCAGAATCTGCATGCTGCCACGTGCCATTTAATGGATCATACACCACTGCATAAACATGTGAAGACACAGCAGAAGAGCCACATTTTATATAGATTTTTCCGTTTAGGATTACAGAATCTTCTATTTCGGGAACAACGTTGGGATCCATGTGAGATGTCCATGTGTTTGTGTTGGAATCGAATGTGTCCCATGAATGCGGGTCGCTTGATTTTGACCCGAGTCCACCAATTGCATACATTTTGTCATCCATTGATTCACAAGCAAAATAACACCTGAATAAAAGTGTGTCGCTTTTATTGATAAAGAAATATTTACAAGTAAATTGCTATGAAAATAATACCTTGCAGTTGACAAAGGAGAAGATTCACTCCATGCATTCCTGCTAGCATCATATGAGTAAACTTCATCTGTAGCATCTTCAATCCACCCACATCCACCCAAAAAGTAAATATTTTTCCCCAAAACTTCAAATCCTACGCCTTTTCTTTTCAAACAATGAGGTGGAAGATCATGGATACGTTTCCAACCTTTTTTTGGTAGGTTTGGGTCTAACACATAACAACAAAGTTGCTCCATTTTGTCTTTACACAATGCATAAATCCAAGTTTCAGTCAAATTATGCTTTTCACGATAGGATTGCCATTGTTTACTGCAAACCAAATCACGCCATGTTCTTGAGACACATTTGAGAAGGGAATGATATCTACGAGGAATTCTTGCTAAACAGGTTACAGCAATGTCATCTGGGAGACCATTGATCAATGATGATTGTGTAGAAACAGTTTGATTTGATCCCTCTGATTCCCTTTGTAAAAGTTCCATATCTTGCAACAATTTAAATGCCTGTAACATACAATGAATGTCTAGATCATTGATCAATTTGAAGCCTAACTTGGTCACAGGCAAGTTTGTTTATATAGATCTATTCTATATAACACATAATTTTTTTGTATTTTACTTATGGAATTTCATTCAATTTACATCATACAAATTGAATCAATTTGCTTCAAGAGCAGAGAAAGTTTTGCAACAACAAAATTCATGTCCATTTCAAAATCATTAGATTACACCGATTTTGAGATAACATCAAGTACCATAACAGCATAATTGCAACGACACATTTTCGTGTCCTATCAAAATTCATTCGTTTCGTGGTGATATAACCTTAAATTTCATCCATTGGGGCTTAATATCTGCATCAATTGAATGAAAAACGCCTTTCAACCACAGGCATGTGTTCCAATTTAAGATCAGTGAAATGCAACGAGTATCTAGATCAGATTAAGTCCTAGGTTACAAAAACACGAATCGCAGTTGGATATGAACAAATTATATCAAAATGAGATAGAGATTAGAAAGCAAAACCTCACAATCAGGTGCGTCTTGACTTAGAACTGATCAATTCGGATTGATTCTTCCAAAATCCAGTTTTTCGGAACCCTGATCCCTTTTCTGATTATGTAAAAATGAAAACGGATCGATGAGTATTGGTACGTTAGGGTCACTTTTTGAGTTATACATTCCTGTGGGGTGAGAATGACACAAGCCATAAGATATTTAGGCTATTGTACTTTTTAATAAATTACACGAATCGTCCTGTCATATAAGTTTAATATGTCTTTAGTCCTTTAACTTTTTTTTTTTTTTTTTTTCCGGATTGTTCCTGTGATGTTTTTTTATCGAGGTTTTGGTACCTGAAATGAATATATTTCCTTAGCTTTGTTCTTTTCTCATTTAAACTTTTAAAACAATTATTAATATTATTATTTTTTCCGATTTAAACTTTTTAAAACAATTATTAATATTATTATTTAAACAAATGGATCCCACCCACCTTTGAAACATCATGTCATATATTATTTTAAATAACCTTTATTAAATAATTTCAAAATATCTCTAGAGTTCTAAATTTTACAGGAAAAAACAGTCCCAAAATTTCAATCATCAAAATAGTAAATAAACTTCAAATTTAAGTGTGTGGAATACGATCCAATATTTAATTTCCAAATTTAGTTCAGAAAAACATGCGTTCGTAGACATTAAAATAACGGTTCAAATAAAAATAGTATTTCATACACAACGAATACTCTTCTAAATGTCAAATAGCTTCATAATCTTCTAAGCTTCTACAAACAACTATTAACCTAAAAAAGAATGTCAACATAGTGGATTAGATTTTAAGAAGCCTAGTGAGTACAACCCGATGATTAGTCTTATAAATAGTAGACAAATGAACACTCAATATATATACAAATGTATCAACTCGTACATCTTCAAAATCACAAAACAAAGGGTATAAATTCATACTTTAGGACAAAGGGTACATGAACTCATAAACCAAAGCAAAGGGTATAATAACTGGCAATCAAATTCAATCTTTTTTCCATTATCACATTATTAAATTGATTGTCATTCATGAAGCACTTTGAAAATACAACTATTTGTGATATTTTTGAATATTTGGTCACTTTCGTGGTTAGCTCTTTCTATATTATATTTATTACTTGTCATCAAAAAATCAAAATATGTAGTTTAACTTAACACAATACAAATGCAACAATGAAAGTTGTAATGAGAAGTTTTCGTTGATGTATAAGTAAAATTACCTATTTAAAAAATTATATTCAATCACATGTATGATGAAAATTACCATTTCCATAATATAGAAAAGGAACCTTCAAATACAAATACTAGCAATTCAAGAATTATAATTGCATACATTCGAGAACAATCAATCATCTTATCTTTTTGGTAACTATTATCTCCAGTCTTTGAACATGAGTTCATTTATCTGATCAATTCCAATATCAGAGTAAGGCTCAATGGGTCGATCATCTTCCTCCAACACAGGATCACAACACACTGGTTCTCTACTGTTTTCATCTGTCAAAAATATAATTACAAAATCATACGTTTTCTTTTACCAAATTTTGAAACTGACACAAAATATGCAACCACGTTTTAACCACAAAAACACGTTAACATGGTTAAAGATTTCATCTAAAGATTAACTCACCGAATATTGAGTTGAATGATGAAGGAGGTGGAGTTGCCATAAAATTGAGGCCAATGTAGAATATGAAGATTGTTGCAATGATCACCATGGCATAAGCAGGAAGTGCCAATGCCCAATACCTGAAAAGTTAAAAAAAAAAAGCACATTATATAAAATTTTGTAATAAGTTTAATGGAAAAAAGAAAAGGTAAGATTATTTATCTAGTGCACACTTACTTGCTAGGATAGTAGAAGATACCAATGGAATGTAACCAAGGATCAGGAACATATGCCCATACCATGAAAATAACTGTTGGAACAACAAAGCAACATAATATTAGGATTCTCTGAACATAAAATGAAGTGTACAGAAGGAAGAATACCTGTGGCAACAACAGTTGAAATGGCTCCTACAAACCCATAAACTTCAGAAGGGTTAGGACCATGGTCTCCTGAAACACCTACACCTGAAGCCCTTTTGTTGTCTGCTTCAAAAACAGAGAAAGTTGTTCCCCTATTTCTAGAATAACTAAGAGTCCTTCTAGGGCTATTGAAAGAACGTTGATCTTCCATTGCCTTTTATACCCGTTAGTTACAAATACCAAATATTCATTACTCCAAGACTCCAAGTGAAAAACTCTGAAACATCGTGTAAGCATAAATTTGGATAAGAATGCTGGAATATCGATATCAAAGAAATTCAATGATTTCTTCTGCTTAATTGGGTTACTTTGTTATCAGTGATAAGTAGGATGGAATTACAGTAAAAATTCATGGAGTGCGCATACAATTTAGAGATTCAAGAACAATATATTTGGAAATACAAAGGTTCTCCTACTTAAAATCTCCAAAGCAACATCAATTCGCATAAAAAACTGCTATACCTTTACCGAATAAGATTCAGGACTAAAGTTAAGTAAAATTAATGAAAGATTATGTTAATAATAGTAACAACTAATTATTGGATTAGGATAGGGCTTTTGCTAAGCAAATTTAATAGATATTGAGAGATGGAGACTTGCCATTCTAGAGTTTGGGAAAGTAACGACGCCAGCAATTGAGAGTTCTTGACGAGATTCGTCGTCGAAGACGATGGATACGTTGTTGGCGATCGATCGTTGAATTGCAATTTGGAATAGCGGTGAGTTCAGATGTTGATCTTGAGTTCCTTCGGTAGTTCGATACTCGATAATCAATTGGACTGTGAATAGATGGGTCTTAAAAGGCCCATGAATAGAGCAATGGCCCATTAATAAGAGTCCGCTATAATAAAAAGTCCAACCTCCCATATAAAACTTGAATTAGGGTTTCATTTTTCTTCAGCTGCATCGGTAAAACGCTACAGCTGGAGGGAAAAATTATACGGTTTGTTCCCTAACAATGGCTTACCCTTGCATTCATTGCACGAATTCATGCGTGTTTCAATGTAAACCTGATATGATATGTTTGTCGCAAATTTTGAGTTCTTTACATTTCGAGCTTTCTGAATGAATCGTATGTGTGTTTGGAGTGCTGTAAATTGCTTATCGCTTCGTTTTACTTTTACTTATCCCGCATCTTCTTATAGTTCCGAGATGCATTCCATGTTCTTATAAGCTTACTGGTGTTTACGAACTTATCGGCACGCATAAATTCGTTTATATCTTGTAATTAGCTTCATGTTTAGTAAGAATATATACTGCGCATTTTGATTGTAGTCTGAGGCTTGTAGGTTTTTCAGGACATATTGAATCAAAATTGCATAAGCTAAGTTGATGATCTGTTGTAAGTGTATGATGCTCTGTGCTGATATATATGTTTATATTTTCAGGTTCCAATGGCTCCAAAACAGCCAAATACAGGACTCTTTGTGGGTCTAAACAAAGGGCATGTTGTCACCAAGAAGGAGTTAGCACCTCGTCCTTCTGACAGAAAAGGGGTAAGTAACAAATCATGATATCTAATTTGTGTTGAGTTTCTTTTGGTTAACTAATGGTTGTGCTTCTATGCATTATATATAGAAAACAAGCAAGAGATCACACTTTGTGAGAAACCTTATCAGAGAGGTTGCTGGATTTGCTCCTTATGAGAAGAGAATCACTGAGCTTCTCAAGGTTGGAAAGGACAAACGTGCCCTCAAAGTGGCAAAGAGGAAGTTGGGGACCCACAAGAGAGCAAAGAAGAAGCGTGAGGAGATGTCCAGTGTTCTTCGCAAGATGAGGTAACTCCATTCTTTAAAGCTTTACAAATACTGATATTGACATAGTATGATGAATGTTTTTTTATTGAGTATGATATTTTTGTATTGCATTGCATTGGTTTTTGATTTGATATAATATTGGGTCTTCTTTTTGTAGGTCTGGTGGAGGTGCTGAGAAGAAAAAGTGAGATTGAAAAGATAAAGATTTGTCTTTTGAATAGAGTAGTGGTTTTGGTATTTATTGAAAAAACCTTCTTGTATTATCTTTTTTGGATTTGAAAAAACTCGTGGTTCACTTTCTATTTGCAAATTTTGATATACCAACAGATGTATCAGAACAGAAACTTTTTTATGCAAGATCGATCAATAGATGTCCTTAGATTTGTAGGAAGTATTATAATGAAGGTTTAAAAGTACGGAATTGTGCCTAGAGGCATTTACTTTAACCTCACTTGGTGGAATTACATATTATTTTTAAAGACTATAGTCGAACACCAAGAAAAAGTATATTGCCATTTAGTGTAGGCTTTAAAAAGAAACTAACAAAAAAACTGAAGTACATTGCTATGTAATGCATGTATGAAAAAGAAAGAAAAGGAAATTGCATCTTTAATGGTATTTTTCACCAATTTCTTTGTAATAAACTACATAACACATCCATAGACCATTTGCTTCATAATTCCATCTTTAAGAGCCTCTAATAGCCTTTTTGCATCATTATTCCATTTAGACTTTTTTTTCCACCCTTCTTTTACACCATCTGAACCTATAGACATGAGATGTGTCATCCAATGATCAAGAAACCTAGTAGACCTCTATTTCATAATGAGATATGTCGTCCAATGATCAAGAAACCTTGTAGACTTCTATTTCACTGGTTCATTTCAAACTTAATTGAAGTATAGACATGAGGTACATTAACATCAAAAGGGCCACAAAACACCAAGAGTTTCATCAATAACAAACATTAATATAAAAAATATCCAAATGGTAACATAAAACATCTAATAATCAAGCACAAAATTGACCACGAAATACTGAGAAACATAATAACATCGATTTTATAGAATTGAGCTTACAATTACAACTTGAAAAAAAAAATCATTCTAATAACTAATGACAAAGCTGATACATAAACTCACTAATTTCAGAAAAGAACAAAAAAAGTCGAACCAATTACCTATGGAGAGATCAGACGGCCCGGGTTGAGTGGCCGGAGAGAGGAGTTGTGTCAAGCAGCTCTATGCTAAAGAACAAAGGGAGAACAAGGAGAGAAGTGTCGTTTGTGTTACACCCTGTTCCTGAGTTCCATTAAAGGAGAGAAAAAGAAAATGAAGGGAAAGAAAAATAAAGTGCATTTTTCTGTTCCCGAGTTCGAGAGAAAGGAAATGATAACTTTTTTTTGTGTTCCCGAGTTGTAGGGAAAAGAAATAAAAACTAAAAGTGAACAATTATACATTTGTCACATTTTTACTACAATTTCAAATATATACCACACAATTATCTTGAAAACAAAATTATGCCTAATCTTTTTAGCCACCTGTTGCCTTGCCTGACTCTCGACATCTTTACTTTTTTTTTTCCACATGATTACTTATAAAAGAATCATTAACGCTTCAGTCATTATTAATCAAACTTCAAGTATGTTCTTCATTGGTATTACTTTTTTAAACAAAACCAATACAAAGTGGAAAAAAAAAGACATAAAAACCCAACATGCATAACCTAATACATAACATGAAGTATATATAAAGCATAACAAGAATATGACCGGTTAAAGACAAATCAATAAGAAACCAATTTGAAATCAAGAATAATCAAACAAATTCCAATGTATGAAGTCAAACCAAAAACCAAAAAGTATAAAGTAAAACAAATAATAAATCAAAAACTATCATCCTAAGTAAGTCATTTACTTGCACTCATCATTTTTTTTTCAACAATTTTTTTTTGTATTTTAAATGGAACTCTAAATAATGTCCCTGCACCAGCTTGATTTCGAGACAAAAACATGAAAGCTTCGGCTAATTTATCGGGTTCAAAATCCATCGACTTTAATGCTTTATAAATTTCATCACCAATATACACCTCATGATAAGAGTTTTCGAAGATTTTGTTACATTCCTTCTTATTAAAAACCACATCTTTAACTCCACTCATAATAACATTGTCGAACAATTCAGATTCAGCTTCAGGTTCAATTTCATGTTTCCTTCTTTTCCTTTTTTTGCACTACTTTGCATCGGTGAAAAGAATGTAGGAGATAATACTTGAACATCATCATCATCGCCATCATGATCAATTTTTCGTTCTTTCTGAAGTGTTATGTCATTTCTTTCCAGTAACTCATCAACTTCTTCGGTCGTTTCTACTTTGATATCTATATGTTCAATTGAGCATTCATCTTTTTCGGGATTTCAGCATGCACCCCCGAAGCTCTATCTCTTGCAAATAAAGCTATCATTTCATTGTATTTTGCAATTTTTTTTGCTCTTCAACAAAATTGCATCGGGCTTTGACTGTAACACACAATCCCAAATATAATTATTGGTAAGAAAAACAACATAAATGTATATAGAACTAAGTAAAATGCAATACGAAAACCAGGTGCGGGACCAGAAATTTTTGTCCGGAGTAACACAATTTTTTTTCTATAAAGAGTAAGGGTCAATCCAAAGATTTTTCATGCCCATGAAAAACTATGTTTGTTCTATATATGCTATATAAAGACAAGTTATGATGTGAAGGATCTTATTTCCTTAAAGCATGATGTTTTGTGAACCATGGTATAACGTTTTTACTTTCTTTGATGTTAAAGTTGAAATGGATCGAGTAAGATCAAAATTCTCAATGTTAAAGTGGTATTAGTGTTGGTACAACCTGCATCAGTTTTATATAGATAAGTCAAAAAAATTGATATGTAAAAAAACAAGAAAGAGTAAAAAAAAGGTATTTTACTTGATCAATCCATGGAAATAACCCTTCTTTTAGTTCATCAACATAGCAACATAGCGTGTTGTATGTTGTAGCTTTCTCCTTAAGGACACTAGTTTTGATCCATATTCTCTTATTTCCAATTGTGATGGTCTCAATGTTGCAATATCAAAAGCCATTTGTTACTCATCATAATTTCTAAACAGATGGATAATTATAAACTTTAATTTAATATGATTTTGCAATATAAAATAAAGTTCAATAAAAGAAAAAGAATAGAAGCATCCTTGAATCATGTAATAAGTTATAACTCTCTAAGATGCAAAAAGTAAAACATTTGTAAATTAAATATATAATCTAGCTATCACCCACGTAAGTCCACCTATTTAGCATCATCTTTGAACTTATATTTTTCAATAACCATTTCAACCAAACTAATACACTCCACGGATTTGGCACAAAGTACGAGATTATCTTTATAAGTCACATTCATGAGTATAAATTTCAGGTAAGGATGAACGAATATAATTTCCTTAAATTAATCAAATATTAATCATAATCATAAATCTACACCAAACACTCTGGAACGCTATGTAAGTCAAGGTAAGAAATCTAAAAACCTAGAACTATTGAATCAAATCAAGGTTACTTTCTAGATCTGACTTTAAATAGTAGTAATTAGGGTTACCTTCGATTACAAATTGGAGAAATTAGGTTTACCTTCATCTTCGTTTATTAAGGGCATCTTCATTTGATTCGTTCTCTCCACCCCTCTTCTTCTTCGATCAACCCCATTCCAGTCCCTAGGGCCCTGCCCCTTTCAGAGTAAGTCATAAGCATCGATTTTGTGAAGACGATGGAGATGACCAATAAGACCTAGGGATCGATTTCAGTCCCATGTCCCTTTACCTTTGACTTTGTGAAGACGAAGAAGACAAAGCAAAGATGGCTAGGATAAGGAGTAGCACAAACCGTAGCACCTTACATAATCACCGACGACATCCAAATTTTTTGATGGTTCTTAGACATATATGAGGGGTAGCACGGGCTACCCCTAGCAACTAGCTAGTTCTGTCACTGACGAAAACTTACATTAATCTGGTTAGACCACACTTCTTGATCTACTTCAATTAGCTGTGTTTCAGAATTCTAACCGAACCCACTCAATGAAGTTCCACGAAAAATGTCATACCATTATGAAAAACCCGATTTTAAAGTTTTCAAACGATTCTCTAAATGATTTTTTGTTAAACTCTTCCCAAACTTTGCATTAAGCTCCTCCACCATGTTAGTGTACGCTTGTGGGATGAATGTCACACTAATCCTTCTTCTATTATCTTGTTGTGTCAACATAGATTGAATAAAACAATAATCCATCCTATCTGTCCATTTTATTTGTTTTTTCTTACCAACTTGTTCTTCCTTGATCATCATCACCTGCGTAGCAACATAAATAAACGAACCATACATTGAAAACATAAAAAGTACATACTTAGAAACTATACAAGTATAAATAAATAGCATTTTCAAAAGATAAATAACACAAATAAAGTCAAACACTAACGATCCATACAAAATCAAATTGAAATTCTATAATGAAAAACTATTAGCTAAATTGACATATCTATCTCATGGTTTGGATTTGGTAAGTAATCAGCCCACATTTGATTTGCAATTAAGTTCCTCATTTGCTCTGCTGCAACATTACCCCCAAGTGTCTAACGATCCATACAAAATCAAATTGAAATGCTATAATGGAAAACTATTAGCTACGTTGACATATATATCTCATGGTTTAGATTTGGTAAGTAATCAGTCCACATTTGATTTGCAATTAAGTTCCTCATTTTCTCTGCCGCAACACTACCCTCATGTGTCTCTCTTAAATTATGTCAACACTTCCTCTCTTGGTTCACTTAACACCTCTTGTAGAACCTCATCTTCAATATTTTTTTGTCTCGATCTTCTTCTATCAAAAATTTATGTAAAATACAACATGCCAAGAAAATGTCTCATTGTGTTTCACAAGAATAAAAAGGTTCCCATGTACTTCTAATGATATGAAACCTTCTTTTTAGAATACCAAATGCCCGCTCTATAGTATTACGTAATGAAGCATGACGGAGATTAAACAAATATCTTGCATTCTCATGGGACCAAGCATAATACTCTTTCAAATGATATCTGGCACCTCTATATGGTGCCATTAGTGTAGTTGTATGAGGCAAACCAATGTCTACCAAACAATACCGGCCTACAAATAAGTCGTAATTAGTTATGTATTAAAAATCACATTGCATACAAGAGTACTTTTGGTATTAAAAATTACTTGTTGGATTACTAGTTTATCTTCTCTAATGAGTGCATACTTTAGTATCCTTATGTATAATGTTGTACCCTCCCGACCACTTAAAATGTACATAAACTTTTAAGTTCAACGTATAAGTAGCTAAGACATTTATTGTAGGGTATCCCTTGTGACCACAATATTTAGGGGCACATTTGTTAGGTATTTTGACATGGACATGTGTCCCATCAATTGCCCTATAAAATTCTTGAAGTAAGGATAA